ACGCCGGAAGGGGCTCGAATTGTGCACACCCCCTTGAGTCCTTGCAGGGAGTGCAGCTGTGACACATGACATTCTAACGGGGAAGGTGGGTTCTACAGACTACTACACTACTACAATCCTACACCTTCACGGTGAGGATATCTGATACCACTTACAACATATTTTTAAAAAACTCAAAGTTACGGTCACCAGATATTCAAACAGGGAAATTACTCTGTTCTGATTGGCCGCTACACACGCGGTACGCAGATCTTAAATTCTTTTCAGTCGCCTGAATATTAGCCTAGTTAAACTGCAAGCTCAGCGCTAGAAGTCAAGATAGAATAGACCAAAGAAGAACATTTTGGATTCTTGGCCAATATTTGAAGGCTGTGAGCTTCGAAATACAAGTCTTCTTTTCTGCAAACGTCTGCGTCGACAGTAAGTAGAAACTGAGCGTTGAAACGCTCAGAAGACATAACGAAATTTAAAGGGTATGCAGAAGGCCGGAAATAGAATAGTGTGGCCATTTATGTAGACATAACCTGTTAAAAGTAATTTAAAAATTTTCGAATGAAGGTATTAGAGCCTTCTTAATTCTAGCAGCGAACAATAATATACAGGTAAACGCTTCTCAATTATGTGAAACAAATCCTAAAATTCCTACGGTAGATCAATAAGTCAGAGAATTTCGGGGTTCTGACTTAAATGGTAGATACGAATGCACGAAAAATAATCATTGCTTCTTTTTATGCTGCAAATGGTCATCGTATGCAAAGATACCGGCATGAGAGGAATTGGCACTGCGCCCTAGTGTGAGATAGCTTCTCCTCCGTAGTCAAATAATCAGCGTAAGAATTCTCTCGAATTTGGAGGCACTTGCTTCCTAGTGGATATTCTTTGCCACTTATTTTTGCAGCGAGTTGTCCGTGCTTGAAACAGACTTCACGAGGACATTATAACGGTGGAGACGCCAGATGCATTCATGGAATATTTACTTATTTATTACCAGTTTATAGGCAAGGACAAAGATATATACAGATATGTACAAAGCCTTCCTTTCTTATTGATCTCTCTTTTTAAATGTCTTGTCAGCCACTGAGGTCAGTTGCATATCCTAGACACTGATACCGGACAGTGACTTTGCATTAGATGCAACAACAGCCCCTTAAAGAGATTCCAGTCCTTAGTGATATCCAGGGAGATGAGAAGACGCCAGTCTACTTGCGATGCTTCAGCTCTCTCAAGCCTCACTATATATTTGGCCTCGGTTAATTTATTGCAGGAGCTACAGAATATAAATCATTGTCCCATGAAAGTGCAGATTTATTTCTTCGACCAAGTGGAAGTAGGCAGTATGTTTCGTCTAAACTGTCATCATTGCTTGTGATAGGCTAACTAACACAAATAGTTAATTTGGGCGCGAGTTTGCCAATACTGCTGTGCCGCAGCCGTCATAAGTATTGGCTGATTCAAGGCACTATCGTGTTTTCTGTATTATTTATCCCCTAAAGGTAGCCGGATTCCTCTCTTTCGCTGTTAGACTCCGTTTCAGTCCCACTACTTTTCCGCTTCATCTCTGTCACCTGATCCCATATACCGATATCTACGGCCTCAAGTAAGTCTTCGAACCTTTTAGGAACGGAGGGTGGAAACCACTGAACTTCAGGAAGATTGAAGCCGCATGCAATCAACTTGTGCTTAAGATTTAAGTCAGCTGCAGCTGGAGTAGGGCCATTTTATTAAG